TTATAACACAAGGACTTTTGGTGGAGTATTGGTAAGCTCTTGGGTTTTAAAGAAAGAGGTCATGGGTTCGAAACCCCTTACCTCCATCCAAAAAATGTTTTAAGTTTTTTAAGATGTATATTAATTAAAATTATAAATATATATTTCGGGGCAGGTTCGGGGACAGGGACACATTCACCATACCCAGCCCAAACCTATCGAGGATTTTCTTTTCGGGTCTCCCCCGTACCCGTACTCGATTTGGCCTCGAAAATCCCCCATGTTAGAGCCGGAGACCCGAGCCACGGGGATTTCTGCCATCCCTACTGGGATGATTGTGGAATTCAAGATTTGTCTCATAAAACGCATTATTCATGATACGAAAACCAGTTTTGTAGTATTAAACCATTCAACTATAAAACAGCATGTCAGTACAACAATCCACAAGGCTGCAAGTGTTTTTCAAGTCTGTCTTTTAAATATATTATAGTCAATGGCGGATCCAAAGGGGGGTCATAGGGGTCAAACGACCCTTTAATAGCCATGAAAATATGCTTAAGAAGTGCTACCAATTATAAGGGAGATTACCGCCAGATTTACGATAGAAGTCGAGCCTTCTTGTTTTCCTTAAGGCACGAGTGGAGGGTAAGTGCCCTTAGATATTCTGGGCTGCACTCGCGCTACACTAATGTATTCAATGAGTCTATAGCCTTGGCCGAGACACCCAGGTAATCTTTGAAATTTCATCGTGATGGGGATAAATCATTGCAATTGTTAGTCTTCAACGAGGAATTCCTAGTAAGCGCAAGTCATCAGCTGACGCAATTTGAGATTGACTTGGGTCTTGAAAGCAAATAATATATAAAATACCTCGAAGGGAACAATGTAGTGTTGTTGGTGATGTAATAGGTGCAACCACTAATTTGATTTTTAGGGTTTCTCTCATCCTATGGATTGAAGTATATGTAAGCACATATATATATATGGATTTTTAGTTCTTAATTTTTGGTTTTTATTTTTGTTATTATTTATTTAGATTTAGTGGCATGATCTTAGAATCTTAGACCACATCCCAACTTCTGCTTCTGCGCCAATTTCAGAGGTAATAATTATGTCTTCTTCTTGATCTATGCATTTACATGAGCAAATGTTTTTCATATGAAATTTTTCGTGTCCCGTGAGCATACAGTGTTCCACTTACAGCGTTAGAACTTAGTCGATTGTACAACTCACGTATATTAAACAAGCTGGGATGATCGTTGAATTGAGGATTTGTCTCATTAAACACATTATTCGTGTCATTTATACCAAAATTGGTTTTGTAGTATCAAACTATTCAACTAAACAACATGTCGGTACAACAATCCACAAGGCTACAAGTGTTATTCAAGTCTGTTTTTGAAAGAAATGATAGTTAATGGCAGATCCACATGAGGTCATAAAGGTCAAACGACCCTTTAACAACTATGGAAATAGGCTTAAAAGATGCTACTTTGGTAAAGGTAAGACCTTTTAAGGAGGAAGAAGAAGCTGCAGGGCAATTTATTCTATTGTTTTTTATAAACATTGTGGGCAAAATGACATCGTTTTGGTCGAGAGAAATTTTTTTTAAATGACCTCGCCAAAATGACGCTGCTTTGGGCTATGTTAGTGCAAGGAAAAGCTACATTGGATTATAAATAATGGGTTTAATGTACTGATAAAATATCTTTGTTTTGTGACAAACATCATATTGGAGTTCCTGACATGGATGAGACATTTGTACTTCCAGGGAGGTCAAGGGATAATGTTCCAATTAAGACAAACTGTCATCATTATCATGTGGAGCTATCTATTTATGTCATTGATGAGCAAATTATGAAGTTAGATGATCGCTTTACTGAGGTAAAGACCGAGTTGTTTATTTGTTTGGCATGTTTGAGTCCAAGTGATTCATTTGTGGCTTTTGATAAACAAAAATTACTTCACTTTGCTCAATTTTATCCTCAAGACTTTTTTGGTGTGGATCTTTTGGCACTTCAAAATTAACTTGAGAATTATATTCATCATGTAAGTTCAAGTAGTGATTTCTGTCACTTGTAATGGATTAGTGGTCTTGCAAAAAAAAAAAAAAAAAAGGTGGAGACAAAGATGTTTCTAGCATTCAATTATGTGTACTTGCTTATTACATTGACTTTAGGTATACCAGTTGCAACAGCTTCAGTGGAAAAGGAATTTTTCGTCATGAATATTATTAAGGGTCCACTTTGGAACAAAATGGGAGATCAATGATTGAATGATAGCTTGCTGGTTTACATTGAGAGATATGTTTTCTCTTGTATTGAAAATGAAGCTATAATGCTATAATGCTACGTTTTCAAAATATGAAACATCGTCGTGGACAATTGTAGCTTGTAATGTTGTTTTTGACATGAATAACACTGATATGGTTTCATTTTAAATGTTTTTTTCATCCTCAATTTTTTTTTTGGAAGTTTTACACTATGACCCTTTGATGTAAGATTCCTCGATCCGCCACTCATTATAGTGGGAGTATGCAGTTTGTTTATTGCCCTCTTATTGCCCCTGTATTGTCATTGTATTGCCCTCTATCACCTTTTGTTCAAGGCATGTGGGCCCTATGTTAGTGATCTGTCTCAAACTTAGAATTATCCCCACATCGTCTTAAGCACGACGATATACTAAGTTTGGTGAAATTCTGTCGTTTGATGCTTGTTGAAGCAAACCACACATAACATCAAGTTTTGTAGCAATCTCATTATTAGTACTTACCTCATAGGCACCAAACTTCTTAAAGCTCCTCTTCCCTTATTGTAGCTCCAAAAAACGCAAGTAATCTCTCCTCATTAAGGGTTGTCATTAGGCATTAACCTACAGTAATTAAAGAATAATATTGTTGTCAAATATAGCATCAACAGTGTTGTTATGATGGAGCGTTTAAAAAAAAAAATAACACAATTAAAACTAAGATTTGCTCAACTAAAAAGGTAAAACCACAAATTTAAAACTAAAATTAAAACTAAACATTTCAATAGCACCTAACTCTTTTGGTTTCTCTTTGACTTCAAAAGATGAGCTCTTATTAGTTATACAAAAAAAATTCATTCAACTTATAATAAATAGATATCAAAATCATGTTTCTACGTTTTGGTTTTCTCCAACTATTTTGAGGTGGAGTTGGTGGTGGTGGATCATGTGGAGGTGGAGTTAGTAGTGGTGGTGGCGGTGCAGGTGGGGGTCATGGTGGTGGAGGTGGTGGGTGATGGGTGGTGGTGGTGGTGGTGGTGGTGGTGGTGGTGGTAATGGTAGTAGTGGTGGTGGTGGTAGAGGACTAGGATGAGCATAATTAGTACTGAGATATCCACTAATAGCATGACTATTAATACGACCGGTTCAAGAGCGCCATTTTTGGTATTGCATTTTGCATATAGCCTTACTCGGCGACTCTAAAGTACGTACCATTGAAAGTAATATGTGCCCCATTTGATGATGGCTTTGATGTGGGCAAATTCTTTAGCAGCTTTGTACTTCACACTGTATTCAATGACGCTCCAACTAAAGGAATACAACATTAGATTAAAAGATAATGCATGCTCAATATTCATTTATTTTCCACTCTACTCATCAATCTCCTTGCCAACAAGACATAAACCTTTTTTTAATCTGTAATGTAACTGAAAATTAAATCCCGAGTGAAATAATAGAAAACCCTAATTATCACCACCAATCAACTTGATAAGTATTAAACATATTTTATTTTCAATATGTGGGTGTTTACCTGATGGGATCCTGAGCCTTTCCATTTAGTGATGATTCCTCAATTGTTCTAAAAATTTCCCAATCCGCTACCATCAGGCTCGTCAAGTGAAATTTAAAAAAATTAAAATTAAAATTAGAAACCCTAGATTCTCAAATTAAAATTAACAAGAGAGAGAGAGAGAGAGGCACCGACTCAAAAACCATATTCGACTCATGAACCCAACTCAACATCTATACTTCTTGTTGTTGTTGTTGCAGTTGCACCCGTTTTTGCTTTGACCTGACACCTAGTTGGACTTGCTGAAGACTCTCTCTTAGGTTTTAAAAGAGAATCCGGGAGAGGGGGTTGTCTTGAGAATGAATGTTACATGATGAATGACTAAGCATTATTCGCATTAAACCCCATTAATTGTTCCAAGTCAAATAGCTAATTGACATAATGGATGGAATAACGAGTCTCGACTAACCCAATAGGCAAATGTCATGTAGCTTACAACACAATGAAACTAACCACCTAGTGGATGTATACAAGTAACCTCCATCAAACAAAGAATGTAACTATTCCTATAACTAAGAACCTTACTTTTGAATATTCATACTTTAAATCTTACTTGGGCATCAAAGGCTTTTTGGCTCACAACACACGGATAGAAGAGATATTGAGGGAGGAGATTTGAATACAAGACCTCAAGTGCAGGGATAACAACTCTTAAGCACTTGAGCAACAAACTCTTTATCAATAGTTATTAATTTTTTTTTTATTAATTTGAAAACATGTTTGTGAAATGTTTTTAATTTTAACTAAATTGGCTCGAGTAAAGAAGTGGGACACAAATATCCAAGTATAAATGGCAAAGAAATAAAATAGAAGAAGCATTTTGACCTTGTAAGGAAAAAAAAAAAGAAAAAAAAAAAGAACTACAATGACTTGTTTTTTCCTTTAATTTGCAATTTTGTGGTCTGGAATAAGTCTCACAAACAGAGCACATGGACTATATCCTTCTGGTCCTTTCCTTATGCCCTGTCCTCGAGTCCAACCGCCGCGTGGCTTCCTAACATCACCCACCCACCAAACCAAAATCATTATTTTATTTTTTCATCAATTAACTTGGTTTAATTTAATTAAAACACCGTAATTAACTTAGTTTAATTTAATTAATTACTGTTCAGAAACTAATCACTACTAAACTCAATCAACGCAGACCCAAAAAAATTATTAAAAAATTTCAAAAGCGTACAAAAGCAGCTCATCTCAGTCTTTCTCTGATCACATTCACAACAGTGGCCTTGCAGTTGCTCTTCTTCTTCTTCTTCTTCTTCTTCTTCTTCTTCTTCGTCGGAGAAAATGCATTCGAATCACTTGCTTCTGGAGGAGCCTATCAGAATGGCCTCAATTCTCGAGTCTTCTAAGTCTGTAAGTCACTCTAATCTCTCATTTTTGAAGTTGTTATTGTTAGTTTGTCTAATTATTTGCTTTTGTTTCTTCAACAAGTAACAAAGTTGTAGTGTTGTTTGGTTCCTGAGAAAAATGAAGGGATTAACGGAAAACAATGCCTCAGTTTTCGCTGAACTGAACTTAGCGCTACTTATTTGGCGTTCTTTTGTTTTGTAAACTAAATTAAAGCAGCAGAAATTGGAGCAAGGGTTTTTGTGAGTTACTAGTATGAATCAACTATGTGTTAGTGGAGTTTCAATAGATATGCTGCTGTATGCCCTTGTTTGCTTTTTCTTATGATGCGCTTGGTAGCTGAGAAAATGCGAGAATAGGAATTACTGTGTTGGCTGGTGGATATTTGTCATTTGTTGAATTTGCGGTCATATTGATGTCGAAGAATTTGAATGCCTGATTTAGCTTTGATATTAAATACAAAATTTTGCAGACATTCTTTCCTGCAATGTCAAGGATTGTTGGAACACTTGGTATAAATTCACAATCCGTTGAGACAATATCTGCGTGTTTGAAGGCAGGAATGTCTGGTATTACCCACCTTTTATGTTTGATTTTCATTATTCTTTGTATAATTACGAGTTGCAGATTCTCATTATTGCTGTCACCCTTCATCTATTATAGTTAAGTAATAAAAGGATAATGAACATTGTACCGGCTATGTACCTCTTTTCTGGCAGTGTTTTTAGGCCCCTTTTACATTTTCTTAGTTGTGAAAGCAATAAATGTGTGCTTCTTTGTTTTTAGCAAAGCCTATTTTCATTTTCAGAAAGTTTGAATTTGAATTTAATATGCTATTGATTTTACTAACTTAAGCATATAGTTTCTTCTGTCCTCTCCATCTAGTTTACATTTTCTTTGTGAAGGTAATAAATGCGAGCATGCTCGTTTTTGGCAAGATTAAATTTGGATATGACATGCTGTTGGTTTTACTAACTTCGGTATATAATTTCTTCCACTCCCCACCCCCCGAAAAAAAATAGTGGCACGATTTGATTTTTCATGGGGCGATGCTGAGTTTCATCAAAAGACGTTGGAAAATCTGAAGATCGCAATCAAGAGTACCAAGAAACTCTGTGCAGTAAGCCGGTTATTCTTATGTGTTCTGCATTTGGTCTCTATATTATTTGACTTTATAATGACCCTTTTATTCATGGGTTTAATAACTGTGCATTTTGTGCATTATTTACTTTGTTATGTGCCTTTCACTAAAGCATCTTAACTGCATGCTGTCTTCATTTAGTACATAATAAGTATTTTTCTGACTTGGGTTTGTATACATTCTGAGTTACATGCCTTGTCAACCTTTGGACGTGTACGCCTACTAGTCAGTTTTTTACCCTTTTTTCTCAGGTTATGCTAGATACAGTTGGTCCTGAGTTGCAGGTAGTGAATAAATCTGAGCGCCCCGTATCTCTTCAGGAAGAGACCCTGGTTGTCCTAACACCTGATCAAGACAAAGAGGCCACTTCAAATCTATTACCCATAAATTTTAGTGGGCTCTCAAAGGTATGTATGATTGAAATATACTGTCTGGCTTATCTCTATGAAAGACATATGTTGGGTTTCCTTGATATTATCTTGTTATATTGGGATCTTTGGTTTGATCATATCTATAGCTATGATATTTGCTGCACCAATCTACTTCCTTGAGTGATTATGAAGTAACTGTTTTTGCATTTACCAAACTCTGCTAACCGGGAAAGAGGCTGGCTTATCCTTGCATCAATGAGGGCTGAGGTTTATCAAGCGTTGGTTATTTGTCCGATGGAGTTTTACTATTTGGTGGAGAAATAGGGATATGTATATATATAGAAAAAATATATATATATATATATATATATATGTATGTATATTTCTATACACCCATTTAGTACACTATTATTAAGAGAACCTTCTTTGTAAATTGAACTTTGAAACAAATCTTTATACAACTTTAATGGTAAAAACAAGGATGGAAATATTGGTTGATATATCTATCTGATTTTGAGAGTGTCAACACAGATATTACCGGATTCCCCCTATATTTCCCTATATCTGCCCAAAAACTCAGAAAAGTTTCTTGATTTTTGAAGGTAATTGGAGGAAGAAGATGCAAATTCAAAACAGACATAAATATCTAATCAAGTCAAATATGAATCAAATTAAACCTTAATTGAATTCGCATCTACTAACCCATCCACTGAATCAAACTAAATATCCAATCAAGCCTTGTTCACCTAAAACAACTTATGGAGCTCCTTATGAGGAACCAGATTAGTGACTGACTAGTTGGGTTAATCCTAAGTATCCCATGTATGTGAGGACAGTAAGGAGCTTAGAGACATATGTGCACCAAGTTCAAACATGGCTTTCGAACTGCTTAGATTATATGACTTGGTATGACTATTGTGTGGATGTAGATGGTTGCTCCTCATTGTTTGAGCCTCATTGGAGCTCTTCGTTTATCTAGATGGACCGCATTTTTATTTGTACTCCAAGGTTGAAGGCAATTATGCATAAATTATCCATTCTAATCAAATTTTTATTTTCATGTTTTCATGAACCCACATCATATACGCATAAATTTCATTGTATGAAATCGTATACTTAGTATATTTTGAAATTTATTAGTTTAATGCATGCATTGATAATGGAACTAAAATCTACGCAAGTTCTATTTCAAAATTTCACATTTTAAAGCCAATATCTGGCTTTTTTGTCAATTTTCACTGATACTAAAATGGATATTGATATATCCCCTGAAATATCCGGGTAAATTGGAGGGCTGATACTATCTGCACGGCCGACATTTTCATCCTTTGTTAAAAACACGTTAAAAAAAACAGCATTTTCTCTCACAGGTTAATTCTCCTAGCACTGCAACCATGTTATACATTCAACCAACCTAACCCAACCCATTTTTCCTACACATGCATCACATTCATGGATCACCATTGGAAGAATAATCAAATAGGAAATCCTTTAGTCATTTGATTATTATCATGATCATTTTTATTTTATCAGAAATCCTGTGTTCATCTATTTATTTGACCACAATTAAATGACCAAACATTTTCAACTTTTTGTCTCCATTGACTTTGTTGGGAGAGAGAGGAGTAAGCATTTTACACTCAGTTTTTGTGGTGATTCTTTTGCTTCTTTCAGTCTTGAATTTTTCCTCTATTTTAGACTTTTCACTTCTGGTATAGAATTACTATACACACAGGACAATAATTTCACAAGAGTTTGGAGGAACCAATTCTTCTTGTAGGTTCAGGAATCTGCCTTCTTCATAGAGTTTGATTTTGACTTTGTGCTCTTGCTTTTACTCCTAACTTTCATGGGAGCATGTCGGAGCATATTGAGTTATTTTTATCTATATTACAGCATGTCTCACGTTCTCACCTTATGCTGGCATTCTTGCAATGATTATTCAAATTTGGTCTTTGCAGGTAGTGACGAAGGGAGATACTATTTTTATTGGTCAATACCTCTTTACAGGAAGTGAAACTACTTCCGTGTGGCTGGAGGTAAGGAAGTATCCGAGATATGAGTTCCATTATGAAGTTGGTTTGTCTCTGCTGATTTAATATAATTATATAATAAACATCTAGGCATGTCAATTCAACTCCTTGCCCAGTCTTTTGTCACTTAGTTTGAAATTAAAACAACGCAACAGCCACTTTACTCATTTCTTATGTGCCTATTTCAAAGCAATCTTGTTTATGCAAGCAAGAGATGTGGAATGCTGACATTCAACTGAAAATTAAAATTCCAATTTAGACATATATTTGGAAGTAGGAGAAGCTTTGCTGGCCGAAAAAAGAGAACTATAACTTGATAAAATATTTGGCAGTGGAACCTGCAGTGTCTCAAGCGCCGCTAGTTCTTACAACTATGATATTAAAAGGGGACTATCAGAAGTTATTAATTCGATAAGTCACTGGCTTCCAAAAATTTTATAATTAGAACCTCTAGGAACTCAAGCCTACAGTATGGTCCTGCAAGCCTTCTCTTATGAGACTATTGTTTTCAGTCCCTCCGTTCAGTGTCTCCATGTGTTCTGTTTGCAGATGTCTTTTGAGAAGTTCCCTCATTCTTTTTCCTTTTGTTTTTTGGTTCTCTTTATGGAATATTCTCAGGAAAATAAAGTGGTAATTTGCATATTGTTGTAAAGTTTTTCTTTCACAATGCAGGTCACCGAGGTGAATGGTGAAGAGGTGGTTTGTCTCATAAAGAATTCTGCTACCTTGTCAGGGCCATTGTATACTTTGCATGTCTCTCAGATTCGTATTGATCTGCCTACACTTACAGATAAAGATAAGGAGGTCAGTTTATCTGTTGGAATGGAATACTTTTTTCTTCACAGTATTAGATGCTAATGTAGTTATATGTTCGTCTACAATGCCCAAAACCAAACTGTCTGATTGTTTTTTGAGTACTTCCAATGGAGTGCCTACAGTTTTTAATGGCCATCCATGGATTCATTAACTTGTGTCATGTGTTTTCGCATTGCACCTTCACAAGGCAAATTTGGACCCGGTTATTAGTTGCGTTTGGGGTGGTGTGGGTTTTTCTTGGAGTTGTCGTTCCTTCTTGGTTGAAAGGTTATTGCAGAGGCTAACAAAAGGTGGTCACTCTTTGGTGGAGTGGGATTTTGTTGCTTTGGTTGATGCTTTGGTTGGAAACAAACAATTGGTGTTTTTTCCTCTTTTGACAAGGAAGATGGAGTGCATCTTCTTTGGAATAAGATTAGATTTCCAACTCTTTTTGTGGATTTTTGTTAAAGTATTTTGGACATACAACATTTGGTATAATTCATTTTGATTGGAGACAGTTTTGGCATGAGTGTAATGTTTGTTTTGCTTTACGGGTGTACCTTGCAGGTGATGGATTTCTTGTCCAATTTCACTTTACAGTAACAAAGCTTGTGTTTCTTATAAACAAAACAAAAACTTGTGGATTCAATCTTCGAGTGTCGTCACTCATTGGCTTGTGTTCCTAATTTTTTTTTTAATAGTGACGGTAAATCCTAGTTTATTTGGCTGGTGATAGAAATGGTTTTTGAAGTTGAAAGTTTATCAAAGTTTGTTCTCTATAGATGGTAATTTACATTTCCTAGATTGATGTGGTAAATTTTAGTTGTTTAAAATCAATTTCGAGCAAACTTTATGTATGAAATTATTGTAATTTCCAAGGAGATCTTGTTCTTACAAAGTTTGTTTATTTACTTAATGCATTTCCTTTTTGAACATTTTAATAATTTATCAGGTCATAAGCACTTGGGGCGTTCGTAACAACATTGACTTCCTCTCATTGTCATATACCCGTCATGCTGAAGATGTTCGCCACGTAAGGACTGTTCTTCCTGTTATGATTTTCTGATGTTAAATAAAATTTTAAAAGACTTCTTTTTCTCCCTATTCATCCTTAGTTTATGACGTGGTAGCTTGTAGTTAGGGCTTAATTTACTGGGTAATATAATTCTGTTTATACTTTTCATAATTTAAGGAGAAACTAAGTATTCTCATATTATTATTTTATTTTAACATTGGTTGTTCTTGCTTTTATGCAGGCCCGCGAATTTCTTTCAAAGTTAGGTGACCTGAACCAAACTCAAATTTTTGCAAAAATTGAAAATGTAGAGGTGAGTTGTTTTTTAAGAAAAGTATAAATGAAAGTTACAAATTTTGCCACCATCTCCTTCATATCACAGTTACCACTTAGACACATGGGTTTGACATTTGTTGAAAGTCCTCAGTATCTAGGCAGTAATGGTAGTAAGGAATGGTTGCCAGAAAAGGATCATTTGTAGTGACCAGATTTTTCAATTTCATACTTTTGCTTGGATAAATTAGTTTATTTTTCTCCTCTATTTTTGTAGGGATTAAATCATTTTGATGAAATCCTACAAGAAGCTGATGGTATTATCCTCTCTCGTGGAAATTTGGGGATAGATCTCCCACCAGAGAAGGTAAGCTTTCAAATCTCAGAAATAAGTAATCTTATAGTATTTTATTATTATTATATAAACGCTTTGGTGGGCATACTTTCTATATGTCTTTGCATAAACTGCACATAGCTTTACAAGTATATGAGAAAATCATTGTCAAAATTCAAACAGTCACATGATAGTTGTATGACTTGAGAACCAAGTTGCACTTGTATGCGGCGCCATCATACTTGTATGTGTGTCACTGTCAAATCCATGGTTTGTTGATGTTTGAATAGATGATGGTATACTTGAATGAGTTATATTCCATGATGTCAACTATAAGAAATAGTACTTATCAAATGTAGATTTCCTGTGATGTCAACCCGAAAATTGGGGTACATACAGTAATGAGGATTGGTTACCACATGTTCTTTTAGGGGTGTGTGTGTTTGTGTGCATGCTTGGGTGGATGTGCATCTACATTTACTTTTAGTTGGAAGTTGTTTTGTACAGTGAAACTTGAATATGTTGGTACACACTCCTTGGATTTTCCAGGTATTTTTATTTCAAAAGGCTGCTGTTTACAAGTGCAATATGGCTGGAAAGCCAGCAGTGGTGACTCGGGTTGTGGATAGTATGACAGACAACCTAAGACCTACTCGTGCTGAAGCAACTGATGTTGCCAATGCCATACTGGATGGTAAATTTTTGTCTTTTGACATTAAATATATATATATTTTTTAATATAAACTTTTAGTGGATGTCAGCGTCTTATTGCTGATCTGGATGGCGTGTATTACTTTTTCATGTCATCACAGATTCACATAGATTGTTGCACTGCTGGTGTTAGTAACCGTCATTATTATAATATTCCTGTTGATTGAGCTTTGACGGTCCCACTGTCCCAAGTATGACACATGCCAATTGGGATCTTATTTATCTACTTTTCAATTCTATTTGTGCAGGAAGTGATGCAATTCTTCTAGGTGCGGAGACCCTACGGGGTTTGTACCCTGTTGAGACTATCTCCATTGTTGGAAAGATCTGCGCTGAGGTAACTCCATTTTCATATTGTTGTAAAGAAATTTAGTATTGACTCTCTCTCTCTCCCCCCACAACTCCCTTCCCCCCCGCGGCGGAAAAACAAAAATAAATGAGCAAGTGAGAAACCTTCCGGCTATAGCATCCCCGAATTTTCTGGATAACGTTTTCCCTTTACTGGATGATGCAAGAGCAAAGTTCAAATTATACTGGATAAGCGCCTGTACAAGTACAAATGAAGCAATAAATGCAATTTGAACATATATTTCACTGTTTAGGAGTGTTATAGTCATTGTCTTTGAGTCTCCCTATGTATTGTATGTCACATGATGAATGCATTAGATGTCATGAACATGTCTTGTAGCATTTAAGTGTATTAATTTGAGTCTTTCAAGGAGTCATGTGCCAATGGCTCTATAAAAGGGCTACTTTGTGAGCTTTGAGATTTAGTTAATGGTGAAAGAAGTTGTGATTTCCTGCTTGTGTTTGAAGCATGGGTTGACTCGGGGTGATTCAGGAAAACATCAGTGTGATGCCAAAGGCCGGATTGAGCTAATGTCTTTCTTTCTTCATTTCTTTGTTATTGTCCTGCATCAGTAGAGGTCTTTATGGACGTGCAGTTTCAAACTTACTGTTGGAGTAGCATGATTTTGCCATCCTATTACTTTTCGCCTCACTGTGGATTAATTTTCCATGTGTTGATGTACACTAGATCAAACTCCTGTTATTCTTTTAAATTGTTGTCAGTCTCCTCTTTTTCAGTTTTGTGAAGAACTGACTTCTGTTTGCACACTAAGCACTGCTTATGATGTTCTGCCGTCTTATCTTTTCTGATCTAAAATTTGATGATCTCTAGCATAGTTTCTACCCGCACTAAGGGTTAGGATTTCGCTTTTTGTTGAATTGTTGTATTAATTGTATATAGTTTTGGTAAGTTGAAAAATGTGTTATGGTTATTCTGTTCACTCCCTCTCATTCAAGCTACAACAGTTTGAAGTTGGCTATAGAATTTCTTTATATGTTTTGTTACGCCAGCTTTTATTTTTAAAGCATACTTATTTCTTTCTTTATACAGTGATATGTTGGTCTAGCTGGTAGTCATTTGATGTGCAGAAATTTTGTCTTATGATCAGACAGTTTCTCTTTTGGAGGGTGGGACCATTCTTTATTCTTGTTAGGATGTATGTGTCGTAGGATGGGTTATCAAAAGATTGTTAGATATTAAAGTACAATGGCAAGGCAAAGTTCTCAGTTCACATTTATTACATTAGTTCTTTTATATCAGTTATCGTGAGCTGAATTTTAATGATTTTTATAAAAATGCTGTATGCAGGCTGAGAAAGTTTTCAATCAAGATCTGTACTTTAAGAGGGCTGTCAAATATGTTGGAGAACCAATGACCCACTTGGAATCTATTGCTTCCTCTGCGGTAGTTTTTTGCTTTCAGTGTTTTTCAAATTCTTTTCTTTTTTTATTGTACCATTGGCCTGAACCCTGAAGAGATGTTTGCTAACTGAAGCATGGTATGAAGGATAAGTTTTATGGCATAGTGAAATATTATATATAAAAAAGTCGCTTGTTCTAGGTACGGGCAGCCATCAAGGTGAAGGCCTCTGTAATTATTTGCTTCACTTCATCCGGACGAGCTGCAAGGTGATTTTCTCTTATCTCTTCTTCTATCTTCATTTGTATATTAGATTCAAATGCTTAAGGAGTGGGTAGCTATAGCTTATGGGATTTGATTTCATGTAAATTTTTAATTTCCCTATTGAACTTCAGTTAGATGGTTCATATTTAATTAAGAAACAGTTTTCCTTTATGATGTTATATACAAATCTGTTGTAATTGTCATGCTCACTCTTGCGTTTATTGGTTTTGATACTTGGGCATTGTTGTAGGTTGATCGCAAAGTACAGACCAACAATGCCTGTGCTTTCTGTTGTAATTCCTCGGGTCAAGACAAATCAACTCCGATGGAAATTTTCTGGTGCTTTTGAGGTTTGTTACTGACCTGATTTGGTTTATGCACTGGCGAGGTTACATTTCCAGGTTTCTGCTAGATGCTAGAGTGTAGCTACTAATGGTTTTATCCTGTTGAAACATAATCCCAGAGCAGTTCTGTCCGTCCATTTCCTTTGATTCTAGAAGGTCTACTAAGTATCATTTTAAGAAGAAGAAAAAATGGAGTACTGTTCTTAAGATAAAATGTTTTGTACATTAAATATATATTTTTTTAAACTCTGATTGTTTGTCTTAAGGTTCTTTCAACTTATCTCAGTTCCTATGTTGATTTGTTTTTCTTACTCCCTTTGTCCCACTCATAATTTTCTGTCAACAGAATCTGTAACTAATTCTTTCAAATCATATTGTTGAACATGTGGATTGAGGGTTGATTTGGGAGAGTGGTAAAATATGGTGTTGGAATATAAATCCCACATTGGCAATTGTAAGCGTTGCATGTCAATAGATAATATCTTGAGCCTCTCCACCCAATATAACTTTAGCATGGTATCTGAGCGGATTCTTTTTGGGTTGGATGCTCTAACTTTAGCATGGTATCAGAGCAAATAATTCATCTACATGTCAAGGCCAATGGTCACACGTGCTCCACGTCACCCGGTATAACTGATCCACATGTATGGCTCAATTCTGCCAAACATTGCCAATTGAAAATAGAAATTGCACATCGGGAATTCTAAGCCTTGCTGACAATATCTAAATATCTTGACCCTCTACGCCCATTGCCCATTGGTTTTGGATGAACATATATCTCTTATAGACCTCTCAGTTTAAATTTGAGAACAGAACAATGATTAGAAGACAATCTAGTTATTGGACTTACGCTTCTGTTTCTTTATGCATTACATTCTCCAACTGAATTTGATGCTCGTCATGTGTATCTTTTTCTTATGATGAATGTCTGGCAGGCAAGGCAATCACTCATTGTTAGAGGCCTTTTTCCCATGCTAGCAGATCCTCGACATCCAGTAAGAATTATTCTGTATCATTTTTTAAATTATTTCAGTCCCATATACTTGGAGAGGCAAAAAAAAAGTCTCTTTCTGAGAGCATATTTCATCTTGCAAGCCCTTTTTTTTTTTCCAAATATTTTGTACATAGAAAAAATAATAATAGAAGTTTTGCAAATGGACCTTTCTATATTCCTTCCACCTTCTGACATTTTGTGTGTAATTTGCAATGAGGGAAGATGGTCGCCTTCATTGTGTTGTGTTCTCTCCACAACAGGGATATTGATTTTCTTCTGGTTTTGATATTTGCCTCATTTTAAAACTCGAAGGATAAAACATTTTAGCTTTACCAAAATATCTTTCCATCTCACAAGTTTGGTATTAATTTGACACCTCGAGTGAGTATGATTTAAATGGTTATTATACTGGAAAAAGGAAAGAAGGTAAATATTTTAGTATGAATTGAGAAATTAATTGTTCGAGGCATCAATTTGCGGTTATTGCTAGACAATCTCTTTCGGAAGTAGTTTTCTTTTCCCTAGCCTAGGAGTCTCTTTGTTGAAACAATGTGGAGATGCTTTCACTCAAGCAGTGAGAATCAAATCTTGTGTTTTGATTTGATTTTTATTATTTACAAAGGAAATTTTGAAAGCAAGATATATCCTGTTGATTACATAGGAGAAACAAATGATGAATTCATATCACGTGGTTTCCAGATCTTTCCTTCTGTTAAAATTGATTGAGTTGGGTTTCTTGTTGGCCTTGAACTTCTTATAATCATCTTATGCAGCCCTAGTGAATAATATAGTCAGAAAGAATTTTTTCCACACTCACATCCGATATGTATTTCGAAAATCTAGGTGAGCAGTTATTAAAAGCTTCTTCTTGGTTAGGGAAGAACGGAAGATTGCTTGCAGCACGGAAGACTTATATCGTAATATTAGCACAATCTAGATTACTTGATGTCAAAATGATTTAAACAAAATACCCTTATGGTAGGAAAAAATCTGTTTAGGGACATGAGTAGGTTACATTCATCTCAATAATGCATATACTTTGCATGCTTCATTTCCCATTGGATCAGACTGAGACATTTTCTTTTGCATTTCTATCTTTTTGCTCCTGCAGGCTGAATCTACTGGTGCAACAAATGAATCGATTTTGAAGGTCGCTTTGGATTATGGTAAATCCTCTGGTGTCATAAAGTCACATGACCGTCTTGTGATTTGCCAGAAAATCGGCGATACTTCTGTGGTGAAGATCATTGAGCTTGAAGATTGATGTCAACATTGCAACATATTTCTGAGTATGTTTTACAAGTTTTTCTTGTAAGTTCTCCATGGCCTACCACCCCTCTTTTCCAAAAATAAGCGAAGATGCATAACGGAGTTTCTGACTTTGTAATTAAATTACTGTAAACTTTTGCTCCTTTGTCTTTCCAAAAATAACAGTTCTCAAAACATGAATATTATAATATGTAAAATATTTTATTAAATCTGACGTCAGTAGCATTTCAAGGTAGAGGATCAAATTAAGCTTTATCATTTTAGGAACAAGAAGATGATTGAAACTGTCACTACTTTTTAGTCCAATGGCTTCAAAATTATTAAGTATAGTTTTAAAAAAATGGATGGTCCTAGACTTAGAAAATCCACAATGAGCTCTCTAAATCACCTTCTTAGCTAAAATTTAGGGGGGAATTAAAAAAACTGCACTCCTCCTAAAATAGGGACACTTTTAGAAACTCCTAAATCTGATGAGAGAAAAAAGACTCCTAGTGACTCCTTAGAATTAAATACATCTATATTTAATATTATTTTAAGCATTTGTTTAATGTCAGCTATTTTTTATTGTTGCTTTTGTGTTTATACTTTATTCGAAAATTGAATTAAAAAATATTTAAAACATTTATGACTCTTGAAACTAAGGGGGTATGGTTGAAGTTGAAATTTTATAGAGAGCTCATAAAATAGCTTTCTAGTGTTTATAGCTAAATTTTAACTAAAAAAATATAGAGCATGATTATGGATGCTCTTATACCCGTTTAGAGTTGGCTTATTTAATAAACGGCAGATCGTCTATTTATGAAAATTGTCAATCCCGGTCTGAGCCCACAGTATGGACTCAAGTTGTGCTTGTGTCAGGGCAAAGATAGGCCCACACCAAATTTGACTTATGTTTTGCATTTGTTTTGTAATTTTTTTTACAACTTCCTTTAAATCCTTTTTTTTATATAAAATAATTGTGTATATACAAACAAGTTTTATTATTTGTTGCAAAAAAAGGCCAATAAATTTATTTAAAGTATATTTAAATAGAAAATGACTAGATTATTATTTGGATTTTTAAATGGGACATTTTGGAAAAAGCAAAAGGAGAGAAATTTTAAAAGAAGCAAAAATGGACAAAAA